TCTTGGGGGGCTGCGGGGAGACCAAGCCTGGGCGCGCAGGCCACTGCTCCTGCTTACGCTTTCAGCCATCTGGGGGCCCATCTGTGCCCGCACCAAAGGTCACTCCGACGAAAGGTCACTCTTACGTCGAGTCGACAGAAACCCTGGCCTGAGAGACGACACTCGCCGGCCCAGCGGGCCAGAGGCGTGCTCAGAGCTCCGGCAACTGGACCAGCCACCGGAGATCTTGGCGCGAGCGCGAGCGGGCCCCCCCCCGGGGCCGCTGGCAGTGGCCTCTCGCCGACAGGGCGCCTACACTTACGCTGCACATTCGCCATGCATGCAAAACGCTGACATGTAAGATCCATAGTTGTTGGGGCTGGGGGGCGGTTTCCCACTGTCCACTGGTCAACAAAATATTCGAATCCGCGCGCGCGGGGCGGCCCCTGGGGGCCCCCATACGAAACGGCTAGGTCCCCGTCTCCCGGGCCACTCCCAGGCGATCCCCCCAGAAAGCCCCAGAGGAGGGCCATTTTTCGACACCCCTCACGAGTATCGTGGCCTCCGAGGGGGGAGCCGCAATCGACTACCTCCCCCTCCCGCCCCAAGAGGCCCCCAAGAGCCCCCCAATAGGCCCCAGGGGCCCCCAAGACGCCGCAAAGGAGCCCCAAGATGCCCCCAAGAGGCCCCCAAGGGGCTCCAAAGAGGCCCCAAAGAGCGCTCCAGAGCAGGCGGAATGAGCGAAGCAATAAAAATGACACCAGGAGCTACCCGCGACAACTTTTGCCCGGGTATTTCCGTGCATGGGGAGAGAGAGGAGGAGGAAGAGGAGGAGGAGGAGGCGGAGGAGGAGGAGGAGAAGAAGGAGGACGAGGAGGAGGGGGATGACGAGGAGGACGAGGAGAAAGGTGGGAACGAATCGGACGGTCCAGCCGACAAACGCTTGAAATCATGGGCAGCGAAGAGGGCCCCGTCCCGCTCTGAACCCATGCGCTAAAGAGAACCCCGGTGAGCTGCGAACTACAGCTCGCAACTCTGTGCGCTAGAAGCTGCGGGGCAGCAGAGATGAAGAGGAAAGGAAGAGAGGAGAACAAAGGGCACTGGCGCCCTCCCAGCACTGGCGCGAACCAGCTGCTCGGGCGGGGCGCAACAAGCAACTCCGATACACAAGCGGTCCCAGAATGTTACACAAAAACAGCTCAGGAAAGCACGAGGAGGGCGAGAGGGGAAGCGGGGGGGGGGCCTGGGACCCACGAGGGGAAGAGAGAGGAGATGAGGCAGGGCATAGCGGAGGAAGAGGGCCCCACGAGGGACCCGGGCCCCGGGCCCGAGGGGGAAGAGCCCCGACTGGGCCTGGGGCCAGGAGGGCAAGCGCAAGCCTCGCGCTGCAGAACACCCGCTCCTCGGAACCGCGTCCTCGCCCTCGTGCTGCGACTGCCCTCGCCGCGCCTTGCTGCAGCGCCCGCGACAAAAAAACCTGCGAAGTCGCCAGCGGGGACGGCGCCATGGCGGCTCGAGTTGTGAGTGCGAAGCAGCCCGCGGGCTCCGACGGCCCAGCTGGTGAGCTCGTCCTCGGTCAGCCTCGGCCCCCCGCGGCGGAGAAAGCGAGCCAGCGCCTGCTCGCGACCCAGGGGCGGCTTCTGTACCAGCGACCGGCGCCGGACGACCCGGCGTGAAGCGACAGACGAATCGAGTCCTGGTCTTGGCCGCCGCCAGAACGGCGGCGCGCGGCGTGCACACATTGGGAGCCGCAGTGCGCCACCCACTGCGCCAACGACGCGGGCACTGCCGCCCGCGCCCGCGGCTGGCACGAGTCACTCCCATCCGCCTCCAGGTCTCTGCAGCAGGATCAGCGCGAAGGCGAGGAAGATAACCAGCCTCGAACGTATCCCAATCCCTTAGATGGGCGAGCAAAAAGCGAGGACATTCTTAGGGATAGGCCCTCAGAAACTGAGGAAATCCTTAAGATCGGCATCGAGGTTAGGTGATGTCAAACATAGGGATAAAGGATATGCTTCAAACTGATAAGAAGACGCGCCAACGGCCAGTGCTGTGGAGCATCCTGGTCTCATCAGCACTGCGGGGGCTGTGCCCCGGGCGCGGGGCGGGCGTCTGCGCCTTCGTGGGCCCCGGAAACGGCAGGGCCGTTTTTGCACCGTCTCCAAAAACATGTCCCTTGAAAATTGAAACAGGAAGAAAACGGCGACCGGAAACGGCAAAGAAACGGCTCCAGGATTGGAACCGGGGCCAGAACCGGTCAAACAACGGCGACGGAATTCCGGTACAAAAAACAGCGTCGGAACCGGCACAAAAACGTCAGAACGAGACCGGTAACAAAAACGGCCCTGTCGTTTCCAGGGCTTGGCGGCGCGCACAAAGGGGGGGGGGGGGGGGGGGGGGCTTCTCAGAAGCAGGCTGCTTCTTAGAAGGCGCCGGCCCCACATCTACAGAGGTGAGGCCCGCGCCTTCTGAGAAGCAGGGGTGCTCCTAAGAAGCCCTCCCCCCTCCCCCCTGCCCCCTTGTGCGCGTGGCTGAAGGGCCCACCAAACTCGGGGGCCGTGCCCCGGGCGCGGGGCGGGCGTCTGCGCGGAGAGCTGCAGGGCCGCGCTGCCTCCGCCAGCGCGCAGCTGCTTGCGCCGCCTCGGGATCGGCTGTGGGCCCTGGCCTCCGAGCGCTGGAGAGTGTGCGCCGGCGCGCCTCCTGTAGAGTGGGGGCGTTGACCTAAGAAACCCAAAATAAGGAACGAGGCCCCTGTTTTCCATAAGTTAAACTTCGATTTCCCTGAACACATAAGGAAAACCTGAGGCAAACTGCGAAACAATGAAGGAACACGGAGCCCCTCCCCAACGAGAAGGGTTCCTTCTTCAACGCCTCGACTGTAGGGAGGGAGTGCAGGCAGCCTCTTTCCAGGAACTCATCCAGGCAACTCGTGGACTCATGGCGAGGTAAGAAGGAGGGGAAGGGAAAGGGGGGCGCTGGAGGAGGGAGGGGGTAATAAAGGGCCAGGAGGAAGGGAGGGGGGGAGAGGGGAGGAGCACGGTGAGAAAGGGGGGGAAATAGAGAAGACGGGAGCAGGAGGGATGGGGGACGGGCGGAGGCAGGGAGAGCAAATAAAGAATAAACCAGAAAAGGGACGCGTACACAAGGAGGGACGACGGCGGAGGAGGATAGGAGGGTGTAGTCGGGGAGACGGGTGGGCCAGGGGAGGAGCAGCAGGCGTGGAAAGAGACAAGGGAAGAGGAACGGGGTCCCCCCCTGGAACATGCATTTCGTTGCGGGAAGCAGCGTGCGCTGCTAAGTTAGAGCGGCTTCGCACCAGAAGTGCACAGCGCGACCCCAAGTAGTAGGGGTCCGGTACAAATCATGCGCAACTTGCAAACCACACGTGCAACAGAGAGCCATGCAAAGTCAATACGGCGAACAGCAACGCAATGATGCATTTGACTGCAGCGCAATGCATTGCAATGGACGGCGATGAAAATGAAGAGCAGAGCGTGGAAAGCAACGCAAAAGCATGTGTCGCACCAGGGTACAAGAGAATGGGATGGAAAGGAACACAATGGAAAGCTATGCGCATACAGTGCGCCGCGCTCCGATGTGATCCGCCCTGGAGCCCTCGTGAAGCCGTCCTGGACAGTCAGTGTCTCGTGGTGGTTTCCTGGGCCCCTCGTGGGCTCAAGCCAGCAACGCGCACGTGTCGAGGGAGAGGGCAGTGGGGGTCTCCTGTCCATACGCGCTGGGGGTCACAACGTGGCACAAACTCACAGGGGCCATCTCAATGAACCGTGTGCGCGCAGGGGCCGCGCGGAGGGCGGAATGTACGCTAGAACGGTTTCTGGCAGCAGACTCCCCCTTTCCATGTCAAAACGCTGGCGCCAGAGGCCAGCTATACCACGTGAGGTCGATGTCTTCCGAGCCCAAAGCCTCTCCCCTTCCAATCCGCGTGAGGGCTCTTTCTCTTTTTCTGCGGCACGCCGGCGAGAAATGAAAATGCACAATGATTGTCGAGAGCCTGTCTCTTTTAGACTCCGGCAAGCTTACTTGCATGGACGGACGGGGGGGGCTGAACCTGAAGCAAGCCGCAAGCGACCTGCACGTGCGGCAATCGCGCAAGTCGAAAGGCACTTGCACGCTAGTCTTCGTCTGAAGAGGGGCGAGGGGGGGGGGAAGGCCGCCATGCAAGTAACCTTGCCAGACTCTTCAAACACGGCCCCGGAGCAGAGATTTCTGCTTGCAAGCGGCTGCGCTCCGGGCCCCAGGGCCGAGCCTGGTGCGGCCCGGCCCAGGCAGCCCCGCGGCGTCGGGGGGACCCGCGGGGGGGGGGCCAGGGAGGGACCCCCCCCCCCCCTGGGGCGCAGAACGCCGCCCGCGGGGCTCGAAGGCGGCGCCGCGCAGTCAGCTTTCGGCACGTGTGCGTCTCTCTCACCAGGGTGATGCGCACCGCTGCTTGGCACACACACACACACACACACTTGTTCCGTCGGCGGCGAGGCAGAGGAGCTGCTCCAGCGGGTGGCGGTTCGGGGCAACCGAGTGGCGAATTGGCCGGCGTGCAAGAGAAGGGAAAAGGACTAGGGAGGCCGCGCGGAGGACAGGAGGAGGAGGAGGAGGAGGAGGAGGAGGAGGAGAGCCACGCAGGCGCAGATGGAAAAACACGCACACAAAGAGGAACAACAGCAAGCATGGCGGGGTAGTGCTGTCTGCCCGACTGCAACACAAACACGCATCACCCGATCCGCCAGATTCGGGGCAAGCCCCAGCCGCCTCCAGGGCGGGGGGAGGATGCTCACTCAAGAGCGACTCAAGATGGACAGCTCACCGTGCGATGGAAAAAAACGCCACCGCCAGCGGGCATCAGCTCCAGAGGGTCGAACTTCCTGAAGCACCACGCCAGTCGATCCCTGTATGCGCAATGCGGTTGCACCGACTAGACTTGCAAAAAGCATGCGTTCACATATAATCATGGCTTGATGTTCTCCCCTCCGAGAGCCGATAGAAAGGTGGCGCATTGGCAATATGTCCTTGGGGTTCTTGTCAGTGTTGGGATCCTCCACCACCGCTGCATCACGCGCAACTATGCAAGTGCTCTGATGGCACAGTCGCTGTCAATCGCTCAGATGGTGTGGCGATCGAGAAGCAAGATCTGCAACCAAGGGCGGTAGAACAACATGATGTCTAGATATGCGTGTCTCAACCAAGCTAGCAAAGAAATCACCGTCCGACGTCGTAAGGCACCGTTGCCTTTCCTGCCCACAGTTCACCACCAGAAGCCCACCTTGCCACCATCCTCTCACATATCACCTCCCTTGCCTGACCTGTTCATCGTCGTCCTCATCCTCTGTCCCCATCCTCCTTGCCAGCCTCCGCCTGTTCATCCGCATATGCTCCTTCTGTCTCCTGCTTATTCTATCCGTCATCCTGTGTGCCTCCTCCCTCTCCTCCTCGCGACTATAAATCCTCTGCCCCCCCTCATTTGACTCTTCCGTCCACCTTCTCATCCTTCCCCTCCACCTCCGCCCTCCCCGTCTTGTCTCTCCTCTTCTTCCACCCCCTCCTCACTGTGACTCCTCCACCTCCGCTTCCCCTTCTCCCTCCTCCCCCTCGCCCCTCTTCTCCGGTCCCTTGCTCCGCTTCACTCTCCCCCTCCTCCTCCTCCTCCTCCTCCTCCTCCTCCTCCTCCTCCTCCTCCCCGCTCTCCGTCCCAGTCCCTCGTCCTCAAGATCAGCTCCTCCACGCAACACAGCTGGGCGGGCTGCGCACTTCGCCCGACGCTCCCTCCAAGTCTTGGGCCACGAGCCGGTGCACTGGGGAAGAGGGCAGATCGTCTTCAGGAGCTGAGCATTCCAAGAACTATTCGGATGGAAAGCGCGTCGGTTTGAAACCGTGGTTCTTGTCGGAGCGCCGCGCAGACTCGCTTCCGAAAGCGTAGAAGTTTCCAGCGTTTGGGCAGAATCAACACAAGTAAATTCTCAAAGTGTGGCATCGCCTGAACCACGCGTGGTGCAAATCCAGCAACTAATTGGGAGGAGGGCGGGCCGTGTATAACATGCGTACATCGCGTGGCCACCGCGCGTATTCGTCGTAAAAACATCGAGCAGCTTCGCGGATGACGGGCGGACAAGGTTCGACGACTACTGGGCTCTCGTTGTAGCGCCGCGCATCTGAAAGTCTGGAAAGTCACCAGCACTTGCAAGGATGGAGATGCCCTTTTTCAAAGCGTGATACTTTCTCTGGCTTCCTGGAGCTTCGCGGATGCGGGAGCTACTTACGTAGTCTCGATGGTCGGGAAATGATCTGCTACTGTGCCGCAGGCACTGAGTGAGGTCTCCTCGGGCCTCTTCGAGGTCTCTTCCCGCAATTGCACATGCCCTTCAGATTCCACACGTCCGTCGTGGCCTGAGATGGTCCCAGGGCCCGGCCTGAAGCCCTTTTGGGGGGCCTCTTGGGCCGTCCTGGAGGCCCTGGCGACTGGCCCACAAACCTTACCCAGACCTCCGAGGTTGTGATTTTTTCACAGCGTCGACCCCCAGAGGTCTGGACCCTTTCCCCGGGACCGGCTTTTCATCCCGAGTCGTTTTTTGACGCTCCCGAGGCCCTGTGAGGGCCCCCGGAGGCCGAAAATTACGAAAAACCTCCCGGCGTGATTTTTGCACGACGCCAGGAGGTCTGGGTAGATCGTCCAGACCACATGACGACGCCTTCCCAAACACCCGGCGCCTCGCTTTGCTCGATGCCTTGGTCCCTGGAGCTCTCGCACTCTTCCCCCCAAAAGGGCTCGCGCCTCAGCCCGAGCCGTGCGCTGGCGGCCGCCCGGCCCGAACGCAGCCCCCAGAGGCCAAACATGGCGACACGCCGGCCGCCTCGAGTTGTTCGAGGTGCCAGCTGTCTGGGTTCGGGGGGGCTCCTCGCCGCGGGCCCGTGGCACGCGCGGGGCAAGGCCCCAGGAAGGCCCGGGGGCTCTCGCTCCACCGAGAGGCCCCAAATATCGCCCCAAAGGCCCCGCTCCACAGGCCAGGGGGGTTCCAGGCCAGGGGGTTCCAGGCCCCCGGAGAGGCCCCAAAGCTCGCCCCCAAAGGCGCAGGTCCTCTGCCGCGAGGGCTCGGTGGCTGAAACCGTCCGCCAGGCCCCCCGCCTGGCGGGAGCGCCCTCGGCGCTCTGCCCTTTCTCGGGGGGCGGCAGGGAGCGCAGGCTCCGCGGGCGTCTCGGCGGCCCGTGGCTCGCATCTGCCCGGGGGGGGCCACTGGCATGCGCGCCGTTCCTTTCTGGTCGTGCTCGTTTCTTATTGCGCTCGTTTCTGCTTGTTCCTGGCCCCCTGGTGGCCAGGAAGATTGAGCAGGGACCGACCGTCCCGGCATTCCTACCACGAGATGTTCTTAGAACCCAAAAATGTTCTGAGAACAAAAGCAATGTTCTTAGAACAGAAATCCGATGTGGTAAAACAAGACAGACTCTGCCAGAAATGTTCTCATAACATTTCGTGGAAACCACAAAAGGTTTTTAGAATATTGTTTGGTGGGGCTATAGGCGAGCAAGGACGCTTCGCCACTACTTGAGAAGAGGCCCCGGATAGAACAATTAGAAATGAAAGGATCTTGGCCCCCAAAAAAATCAGAGAACTCTCGAAGAATTAGAACTGAACAGTGTGTATGCCCTCACGGGCTGATTCCCCGCGTGCCAGGCTGCGAGAGGTAGCGCCAAGCGACGTGCTCGACGAAATTCCAGTACGTTTCTTCGTGGCCTGCGCCGGCTCTCTCGTGCCCACGCCGACCCTTCTTGCCGCAGTGCCCCGCAGTGCGCCTTCCCCCTCGATCTCCTCCTCGTCCTCGAGTTCCTCCTCGTCCTCGCTCTACTCCTCCTTCGCCTCGTCCTCCTCCTTCACTGCGATTGCAGGTTCGCTGCCCCGCTCAGAGATAGCCACACCCCAGCCTGGATCCGATGGGATCCGCAGCGGGCATGGGAGTGCGGAGGGGGTGATAGCCGGCGATGCGGTGCCTCGGTGAAGGGGATCGCCCGGTCCTCCAGACGAAGTGTCACGACATCGCTGCTATCCATCGCCCCTGCTTTAGATCACGAGGTCGGTCCACCCATTCATCGAACGCCACAAGTTGGCCGATGAAGGGGACCACCCGCGACCTAATGATACAGTCGTGGCAATCCTCCTCCTCCTCCTCCTCCTCCTCCTCCTCCTCGAAGGTAAGGCTTCGGACTGCGCACAGACGGCCCCCCCCCCCAGGTCCCCCCCCAGGTAGTCCCAACAGGGAGGAGGCACCACACACAGGGAGGACGAAGGGGAAAAGATGGAGGGCTGCGTTCACCGAACACTCTAGCCGACAGGAACCCGGAACCAGGAGAAGGAGGAGGAGGAGGAGCAGGTGGAGGAAGAAGAGGAAGAGGACGAGGAAGAGGAAGAGGCAGAGAAAGAGGAAGATGGCATGTCCCCTCAGCCCGTGGTGGAGCTCCAAGAAGCGACTGAGTGACTTTTTTGAGGTTCGGATCTGGGTCGCCCTGCAGGACCCAAGCCAACTGAAGGTCGACCCCCCTTGGAGAGAGGTTCGCGACCTCCAGATTTGGTGTGTGACGCACCTGTTCATTGACAGCCCTCCTTGCGCCCATGGATACTGTGTTGGTTTCGACTTCCACGGTGATGCTGGGGGCGGGGGGCGGGTTGTGCCACGAGGACGGCATCGATGCGAATCCTTCCCAGCAGATGCTCCTCCTCCTCCTCCTCCTCCTCCTCCTCCTCCTCCTCCCCTCCACCTCCACCTCCTCCTCCTCCTCCTCCTCCTCCTCCTCCTCCTCCTCCTCCACCTCCTCCTCCTCCTCCTCCTCTTCCTCCCCTCTTCCCTCTCGCCCTCGTCCTCCCTGTATGTGTCTCCTCCCCCTCCCGTCTGGTCACAACCGGCGGAGGCTCGGCTGCCGCGGCGCTCCGGCTCACCGCCTTGTTGAGCTGCGGCTGCAGGTAGGTCCTCGGGCGGGGGGGCGGGAAGCGATGGGCAAAAGGCCGGGGGGCGCGGGGCCCGAGCTTCTGCACGGCCAGCTCCGGGGGTGGGCCGTGACGTCGCCGTGGCGGCAGGCCCAGGGAGGAAAGCACAGCGGGGGGCGGGTGGGGCCTCGGGGAAGGCCCAGCAGGCTCAGCAGGCGGCCTGCTGCAGGCCCCCAGCCTTCCGAGGAGCTCTCCCAGCCCTCTCCGGAGGCGCGTGCGGCTTCTCAGAAGGCGCGAGGGCTTCGGAGAGGCCCCGCCGAAACGGCCTGCCCCCTGAAACGGCCTGCCCCCTCTAAAACGGCCTGCCCCCTCTCGGCTCCCCCCTGTGGGCGCGCCGACGATGGACGTGCCTCGCTGCCTTCCGCCGCCCCAGCGCGTTATACTTCCGCTGGCTTCCACCGAGGACGAGACTCGCCGACATCGAGGCGTCATTCTCGAACGCGCCTAACAGCGCCACGTGGATGCGGATGTCTCGGGTCCCAGGTGGGCACACACATATAACCATATAACATTCTGCTCGGGCATCGGTTCCCCAGGCGGCAGGCGTGTACACATTCAATCCTCGAAGAAGAGGAGGAGGAGGAGGAGCAGGAGGAGGAGGAGGAGGAGGAGGAGGAGGAGAAGGAGGAGGAGAAGAGGAGGAGGAGGAGGAGCAGGAGAAGGAGGAGGCGGACAAGGAGGAGGAGGAGGAGGAGAAACATCGATATCGAGAGAAATAGACATCAGACGTCCAGAGAACAAGCCGAAATGTTATTCTTCGTTTCTGACGCCAGGAAGCTGGGCCCCCAGGGCGGCGCCGACGGCGGCGGTGGCACGGCCATCATGATGGCAGGAACGCTGCATAAGGAAAGAAATGGCTTTCCCCGCCACTTTGAGCCTCGATCGCGAATAGGTCCCCCCCGACCCAAGTTCCAGGAGCGGCCCAGAGCCAGAGCCCCTCCCGAAGCCGAGGGGGCCCTCAACGTTTTGCCCCGTGGTTTTCGGGCAGAAGCCCGGCGCGCCCCAGCGGCCGCTCGGGACGACTGTGGCTCGCCCCTGGGGCGTTGTCGACGGAGTGCAGCTGCTGGAAGCCACTCCGGGCTTCGAAAGCTTTCACGAAGCTTCGGGCCCCTTCCGAGAGCTCCCGCCCCTCTACTGAGCCCCGCCCCCCTCCTGCCTTTCTTTGCCTGCGCAGCGCAACGCTTGCTACTTTGGAGTCCCGAAACGGTGCGGTGACGGACCGTGCGGAGACCTCGAGATCCCCCAAGACCTCACCGAACGGTCCGTCAACGCACGGTTCTGGGACCTCGGATGCCCCAGCCGCCCGAGACGTCCTCGGAGAACGCAGCCGAGCCGAGCGCACCGAAGCGAACGCGGCCGACTGCGACGCGCCCGACCCGACCGAACCGTGGACACCCTCGACGACGTTCCTGCCCTCTGCGCTCCCCAGGCATCCGACGTCGTCACTCGTTGCTACCGCGTGTGCGTGCCCCCCCCAAAGGACTGGACCCTTCCCGGGGAACGGCTCGTCATCCCAAGGAGCTGTTCGGCCGCCCCGGGGCGCGGCAACAAACAACAAAAAAAAAATGTAAGAAAACCTTCGGCAATAGGGCCCAACATGCAGACAAACCTGCGGCCGCAAGTCTGCTCGCAACGCGAGGAGGTCTGGGTCCCCACGCTGCCCCCCCCTCCCTCAACCCTGATGCCTCGACGCACACGAGTGGCGCCCGCCCTTTGCTACGGGCCTGAAGCGAAGAAGCATCTGCCGCCGCAAGCCTGCTCGCAACGCGGGGAGATCTGGGCCCCCGGCCCTCGTCCGCGGCGTACCTTCTCCTGTGCAAGCTCTTCGGCACCGCCTGCACCCCGGGCTCCACCTGCTCCGGCCGCCTGAGGCCCCGCCTTCCTGTGCCCTGTCTCCTTCATTTAAAGCTGCGCGTAGCCCGCCTAGCTTTTGGCGTAAGAGGTTCGCCCTCGCCCCGCCGACCAACAAAAAAAAACTGCTCGCAACGCGGGGAGATCTGGCCCCCATGCCCCCCCCCCATCCCTCATCCCTCATGCCTCGACGCACGGAGAAGGACAGGAGGAGGAAGAGGAGGAAGAGGACGAGGAGGAGTGGCGCCCGCTCCTGCTGCCGCGTGCCACCGCCGCCAGCGCCGCTGACGCCCCGCGGAGCTGGACGCGCAGGGATATGGGGTCTTTTCTGCAGGTGTGTCGAACCAAACCCCGCCCATACCTAATTATGACCCTAGTGCAAAGACGGGGGACCTCAAAGAGGCCACGTCTTCATCGTGCTATTAGGGCTAGGGTCAGGTCGGGCATGTCCCCGCGGGCCGCCTAAGGCCTTCGGAGAAACCCTCCACAAGGGTGCCACCTCCAAGCCCAGGTCGGGCATGTCCTCCTACAGGCGGATCTTGCAAGAGAATTTCCAAACAGCCAACAATAATCAGAAACAGTCCAGCGAGCACGAGCAATCGCCACCAGACTATTATTGCTCTATTCGTGACTGTTTCTCCTGTAGAGGGGCATACCCGACTTACCTGTGGAAACCAAAACAATACCTATACCGCTGCCCCCCCCCGAACCTCTCCCGGGGTGTGTGTTCTGACAAGGATTTCGAAGCGAATCCAGCGAAGGCCACGAGGGCCGTTGAGGAGGCCCAAAACGGGGGAAACGGCCAAAGGGTAGCGGTGTGGGTACCTGTTCCTCGCAGTACCTCCAAACCCACGATTGAGCAGGGACCGACCGTCCTGGCATTCCTATAGTCCTTCCACGAAATGTTCTTAGAACCCAGAAAATGTTCTAAGAACAAAAACAATGTTCTTAGAACAGAAACCCGATGTGATAAAACAAGACAGTCTCCACCAGAAAGATTCTAAGAACATGTCGTGGGAGCCACAAGATGTTCCTTGGAACACTGCTTGGTAGGACTTTAGGCACGCCAGGACGCTTCGCCACTGCTTGACACGAGGCCTCCACGAGCGTTTGGACGCCCGAAATGGGTACGGAAAGAATGGGTACAATGCCCAACAACGAATGCTGTCTCAAACCATCAGCGGCCGCTGTTGGGAGGGCGGCCTTCTGTCTCGAATGGACACAGGCCGCGGCGGCGTGGACAGCGAGTCCTGTTCAAAATGAACAAGATCCGGTGTTGGGCATTGTACCCATTCTTTCCGTGCCCATTTCGTTCGTGCAGAGAGCGGGGGGGCAGCGGCCGCCGCGAGCCCGGCTCCTCGCGTTGAACGTCGTGCAGCACTCCCGCGGGGCCTCCGGGCGTCGGGGGCAGCGGGTGCGCCGGCGCCGGCGGCCTCTCTCGTCGGGGCTGCGCTGGAGCCCTCGCCGCCGTCGGGGCCGTCGTCGTCGTCGTCGTCGTCGTCGTCGTCGTCGTCGTCGTCGTCATCGTCGTCGTCGTCGTCGGGGGCGATGGGGCCCCGCGTCGTCGCCGCTGTCGCGGTCGTCGGCGCCGTCAGCGTCGTTGAGACTGTTATCGTCGCCGCTGTGGTCGTGGGAATAGAGCCATCGCCGCGTCACCGTCGGCTGAAGTCGTCGAGGGCGGGGTGGAAGCCTCGTCGCGTCGTCTGTGTCGTCGCCGCTGGTCCGTCGCGGTCGGGGGAGATAGAGGGAAAGAGCGGGAAGGAGGTGAGGACAAGGAGGAGACACCTCCCCTCCTTCCGCTCCTGCTCTGACCAACCGCGCCCTCGATCGATGAGCGTGCGCTCCACACTCTCGAATTGAATCTTTTCTGTCTAGACTGCCATTGAAAATTGTGTTCACGATCAACATCTCCGTGCCGACGCAAAAGTCTATCAACAGTTCTCCGTCTGATACATCGATTTCATGGACAGTTTCGCACACCAAGCCGAACTCCCCAACAGCGTCTTCTTCTCCAGAATTTGTGTCGGTCAACCCTTGCGTTGTAGTCAGCAGGCAGGAACTTTACGTAATTTGCTCGTTATGCCCTGAATTTTCAGTCCAGCGTGTTGTAGAATTTGCTAAGATCAGGGAGCAGCAACAAGTGCTGTGGACATAGACATTGGATATTCCAATTGTGTCCCCTTTAATGCGCAATCTAAGCATGTAGAGTGTGTCCGAAATTTGTTTGTATGAGTGTACCCGGTCCAAGACAGTGAGTCTTGTTTTTTCCCAGGCAACATGACTTTATGATATTCATGCTGATGCACGTCCACCTTTGTGTTTCGAGTCTGTTGCAGACACAGCACGTGGAGATCGTGATGTTCCATATGTGTGGTTAGCTCGATTGTGTTTATTTCGGTAAGCCCACATACGTTACAGGTTCCACATTTGATTATCTCTGCTTCTTGAGTCTCTGATTGGCTATGTACACTTGAAACGCAGGTGATAGCTTTGCCCAAATCGTTAGCTTCAGCATGAGTCGGCTGAATGATGACCCCCGGGAATCTGGAGAGTGAACCTGTGTCTCTTTGCATGTGGTGCCTTCAATTCGCGGGCTGACCTTTGCCCACTCCTTTGGACGCGATTGCACGCACTTTTCACCAGTCGCTCCGCAATTGTCAGTTGTAGCTCCTCCCACTCGGGGGCCTTGTGAACTGAGGAGGAAGGCAGAACGAAATTCGAAGAGATGGAAGAGAAGGAGGAGGAGGCGGAGGAGGAGGAGGATGCTGAAAGAGGAGGAGGATGAAGAAGAGGAGGAGGAGGAATACATGACGAAATTCGGAGAAGATAAAAGTCCCGGACATCCGATGGCCTGTGTTTTCCATTCTGGGGCCCCCGGCACGGAAGTCCCGGCCCGTTCCTCACAGGAGTATACCTGTAGGAAATGCCCGATCTGCAGGTCGCGCATGTCCTACTACAGGCGGATCTCGGAGGGAAAACGAAAATCAACAACAAATATTGGAACATGTTCGAACACATAATGGCAAATCAACCCCCGACTATTTGTTATAACTATTTGTTGATATTTCTTCTGTAGATGGACAGGCAGGACTTGATCATAGAGCCAGTCTTTATCGTCCCGAGTCGTTGTCTGACTGCCCAGGGGCCCGGCGAGGGCCCCCCGAGGCCGAACACAGGAACAAAAAGCGTACCGCCGTGATTGTTTCAGGACGCGAGCACGTCAGGGGAGGGGGAGGAGGAGGAGGAGGAGCAGGAGCAGGAGGAGGAGGAGGAGGAGGAGGAGGAAGAGGAGGAGGAGGAGGAGGAGAGAAAGAGGAGGAGGAGGAGGAGGAGAGGAGGAGGAAGAGGAGGAGAGGAGGAGGAGGAGGAGGAGGAGGAGGAAGGAGGAGGAGGAGGAGCAGAGGAGGAAGGAGGAGAAGAGGAGGAGGAAGAGGAGGAGGAAAGAGAGGAGGAGCAGGAGGAGGAAGAGGGGAGGGAGGAGGAGGGGAGGAGGAGGAGGAGCAGACAGACGATAACACCCTGCGGCGAAGGATGAGGGGCCGGCCACCCGCTGCAGGCAGCAGCCGCCTGGGCCTGGCCAGGCGGCCGGGCGGGCGAGGCCGGCCGCCCCTGGGGGTGCCTTGGGCGCGGCTGGCCACGCGCGGGGAACGCGCACGGAGGGTGCAGGGCGCGCGCAGGGGCAGGGGGGAGGAGGAGGAGGGAGGAGGAGAGGAGGAGGAGGAGGAGGAGAGGAGGAGGAGGAGGAGGAGGAGAGGAGGAGGAGGAGGAGGAGGAGGAGGAGGAGGAAGAGGAGAGAGGGAGGAGGAGGTCCAGGAACAGGAACGCCGAAGAAGAAACAGCGGCACAGACATACACTGTCGGCGGTCCGCGCGGATTTCCTGGCTCGGCCCCCCACGGCAGCGCCTCTGCCGCCGCCCCTTGCCGCGCTCCGCGCCGAACTCACGTCGAACTCGCGCCGGATCCGCATGGAGCCAACGGCGGATACAAGAAGAGACCGCAACTCCTTGGACGTGCAAGCCCCCCCCCCCCCGCCCGAAGATGCAGCGCGAGGGATCTTGGGCAAAGGGAAAGAGGCAGGGCTGGCATGAAACGGGTCGTGGAGGAGATGAGTCCTGGACCCCGGGGCCTTCCCCTGGGACCAGTTCCTCATCCCGAGTCGAGTTCTACGGTCCCAGGGCTCGTCGGTGGCCCTGGGAGCTCGAAAATAATAACAGACACCTCAGGACCAGTCTCCCTGAGGACTCATCTGCCTCACTGCAGCAAGGGAAAGTGGCCCAGGGCGGTCCGGCGGGCCCAACCTGGGGGCCCCAGAGGTCGGAGGTTGGAGTGAGATACACCGCTCCCAGGAGGGCTCCAAGTGGCCTCCTCTTCCTCCTCCTCCTCCTCCTTCTCCTCCTCCACATCCTCCACGTCCTCCTCCTCCTCGTCCTCCTCCTCCTTCTCCTCCTCCACATCTTCCTCCTCCTCCTCCTTCTCCTCCTCCTCCTCCTCCTCCTCCTCCTTCTCCTCCTGCTCCTCCTCCTCCAACTCCACGTCATCCTCCTACTCCTCATTCCCCCTCCCCGGCACTCCAGGGGGCTGCCACACGTTCTGCAGCGATGTGTGCCTACGTTCCCAGGCCTGCCTGACTCGACGCCTCTCCCTGGGGACACACGCCGTTCTCTCCCGAGCCTTTTTTGTTGCACGGCCCGGCGACGCCGAAGGCCGCCTCCGCCCCCTGGGGGCCGAACTGGGTGAAACAACACATCCGCCCTGTCGCAGGCCTAGAGGTCGACACCAGCACCAAGATCGGCGGTGTGCATCCACCGAGGGCAGAAGATCCCGATCTCGGGGATGGTGGTAGCATTCTGGCTTCCAAGGCGACCGAAATATCACCACCAACACCGAAATCGAGGATCGTCTTCCCCCTGCGGAGGCAACCTCCTGTGTTGGTGTTGGTGCCAATTTCCAGGCCTCCAACCATGGCTTTCTCGAGAAACTGGGGGTGGGGGGGGCCAGAAAATACCGATACCGCTGCTACTCCTCGGACCTCTCCTGGGGTGCGTTCGGACCAGGGTCTCGGGGCGAATCCAGCCGTGGCGACGAGGGATGGGCACAGAGAAGCTGGAGCACGTGGAAGTTGGAAAGCCGGTGCAAGTGAAAATGGCAAGAGCTGAAACATCGGCAGGGGTCGAACCGAGCTCGAAAAAGTTGAAAATGAGGTCGCCAGGGCTGGCAAAGGTGAAGGGAAATTGGCCAGTGCTGGAAAGAGTGGGAGCGGGGAGCGCTGGCCCAAGCCAATCCCACCAGCCCTCTGGGCGTGAGTGGTTTAAAGCGTTTTCTCTTCATCTCCCGTTCTTCCCCTTCGGGGAGGTGTTTATCACTGTTCCCTATTACAACACAACCCTTCCCCCAGGCGACCGACAGCCTACCCGGACTAATAAGCCCCCCCACCACCCCATCCCTGGTCAAAAACAGTACAAAATCCACTTTGCCCCTTAATCTGACACATGCGCGGGCACCCCGCGAACATTCTACATTGGTGTTTGACAGAGGCGGCGGGGCTGTCCGCATATTGCTTGCTGCGTGCAGGCCAGCCATCCCTGTCAACAAACAATACAAGAACAGGCTTGGGCTCCAGTCTGGAACATGCGCAGGGCCTTCTTTTCTATGAGCTCTCACTTGTTTCACGACGCCTCAAGATGTCACACTTTGTCCATCGGTGCTGGCCTTGCGCACCCTGGAAGAGTTGCCCTTCTCACGTAATGCTCGGCACTTCGCTTCAGGTGGATTCAAGATCCTGAACTCCTTGGGGCCAGGGCCCCATCTGGGATCCCTGTTGGCGGTCCCCCGTAGCTGGCGCACCCGGCGCGCCTGGAGCACGTGGAACTCGTGGCGCGCGTGGCATGTGTGGCGTTCCTAAGCGATCTACTGACACTCGAGCTGGTGGGAGTGAGCTAGACGGCCTGCGATCTAGGAGGGTGTTTTGACCCCTCCACCTCCCTCCTCCGCCTGGACCTGGACGGAGCGCCCCGCGATCGATTGGAGCGTCCAAGATGGCCCATGATGGCTAACAGAGGGCCTCAAAGAGCACAAGATGGTCTCCAAGACGGCTCAAGATGGCTCAAGATTGCTCAAGATGGCTTCCAAGATGATCCCAGAGGCTCCACGACCTCCCCACGACGGCTCCAAGTGGCCTCGGAGCACCCCTAAGAGAGCCCCCAAGAGGCCCACATTCTTGCAACAACCTACGGACAAACAATGTGTGTTTGCTTTCTCGCCTTTTCGCTTCGGATGACTTTCCGAAGCCTCAAGATGGCTCCAAGATGGCTCCAAGATGGCCCAAGAGGGCACCAAGGGCGGCCCAAGATGGCCCCAAGACGGCCCCCAAAGCGCCCAAGAGGGCACCAAGAACGCTCCAAAAGGGCCCCAAGAGGCGCTTTAAAGTCTCTAGAGGGGCGCCGGCAATTCAGGACCCCCCGTCTTTGATCGATGTCCTAAAAGATGACCTCAAGAGGGCCTCCAGGGCTCCCAAGAGAGCCCCAGCAGGCCCCAGAGAGGCCCCCAAGAGGTGCCTAAACGGCCCCAAGAGGCCCCAAGAGGCACCCCTCAACAGCACCGAAGACGCCCCAAGGGGCCCCAGAGACCGCCAGGAGGCATCCAAGACGGCCTAGGAGGCCTCCAAGGAAGCCCCCGGGCATCCAATAGGCCTCTGGCCTTCTGCTCGCCCTCCTCCTCCCCCTCCTCCTCCTCCTCCTCCTCCTCCTCCTCCTCCTGCTACTGCTTCTCATCTGCCTATTCCTTCTCGTTCTATCTCCTCCTCCTCCTCCTCCTCCTCCTCCTCCTCCTCCTCCTCCTCCTCTCCTCCCCCATTTGCTCTTCCATCCTCCTCCTCGTTCGACAGACGACGGATGCCCCTCATATTCTTGCAACTAGACTTCCCTGGTCACCTCAGTCCTCCTGGGCATCGTTCCTGGCCGGGCTACTGGGGATCTTTTTTTAGTCAGCGGCCGCAGGCGAGCGCGCCAGCGGCGAGTCCAGCCAAAGCGGGGCACGCAGCGAAAAACCCCGGATACTTTTTTGGTCAGCGGCTCCAAGGCAACGGACAGGGAGCGAAAGCGGCGTCCGGGTCACGGTACGGGGCTAATTTGCAAGACAATTCGCCGCCAGCCAGAGTCGGCGGACAGACAGCTTGCACCTGCACATGCACTGAACAAAATGAACAGAATTCGAAAGGCAAACGCACTTAGGCGCAGCAGCCCAAACCACAGTGGGCAGGCCGCCGTGCCCGGTGAAAGTGAGGATGCCCCGAAAAAAACCGAATACGCGGAGCGTCCACAATGTTGTCGGCTTCCCTGCAGCGGTATCCAAGAATCCCCGGATCTCCGACGGCACCGCTCTCTCTCTCTCTCTGGCCACGGCCCCACGGCTCTGGACCCCTCCCCGCGCAGCGGCGTTCGCCCTGGATCCGTGCCTGAGGGTCGCAAGGCCTGGCAGAATTGAGCAGGGACCGGCCGTCCCGGCATTCCTATAGCCCTACAGTCGGGGCGTTGACCTAAGGAACCCTAAATAAGGAACGAAGCCCCTCTTTTATCCCAAGGAATAACGCATAAGGAACGATAAATAACACATAACGCATCAGGAACTGTAAATAACGCATGCAAGCCTAAGGAACGACCGAGCCCCTTTTGAAAAGTAAGTGTTCCTTTTTCAAGCCGCTCACTGTGCCACGAAATTCTCTTAAAGCCCAAAAATGTTCTAAGAACAAAAACACTGTTCTTAGAACATAAAAACCCGATGTGATAAAACAAGACAGACTCCGCCAGACATGTTCTAGGAACACTTCGTGGAAACCACAAAAGGTTCTTAGAACATTGCTTGGTAGGGCTATAAGCACGTGAGGACGCTTCGCCAGTGCTTGACAGAAGGCCCCGGAGGCCGATGTCGAGAAAAAGCGCTGGGATCGAACAGCATAACAAGCATGTTGAGTAAATGTGTAAAAAACTGGGGTGGTATGGAAAACGCTGGCAGAAGAGAAGCAACTGTAACTGCAACGTCGAGAGGACATGCTGGGATCGAAAGCACTACAATCATCGACAAAACAACCGTAATGGTTTGTCGCCGCGCCGCTGTGCTCGACGCGCCCAAGTGCACGACGCCGACACCACGGCAAGCCCACGGCAAAAACCCGGCGCCCCGCGCCCGAGGCGGCGGTTGCCCTGGCGGCCGAGGCGCCTTCCCCGAGGCGGAAGGCCGCGCGTCGGAACACACGGCGCGGTGACATCTCCTCGGCGATCGGGGCACACGCCGGACGCTCAGGGCCCCGCCCCACCAAAAATTAGCGGCGAGCGATGGGGGAAGTGAGAAGACGAAGGCCTTCTCAGACGGCTCGGAAGGACGCAGAAAGCTTCTCGGAAGGCGCGAGGGCTTCAGAGAAGCCCCGCCGCCTTCGGAGACAGCCTGCTCCCTCTCGTTTCCCCCCCCCTCGCTCGCCGCCGACCTGAGCCCCGTCGTCCCGCGGCAGGTCCGCGACCCGCATCGACGCGGATCGGTCCCCCCCCCCAGGCGGTGCCCATCCTGGCTGGCCCGTGTCTCCGAGGCGGGCCCGCCCGCGGCGGCGAGGAGGAGCCCCCTGCAGGAGGCCCGGACGAGGACGAACACAAAGGAACGCCTGGGGGCCTTCTCCTCCCGCTTCTCCTCCTCCTCCTGCTCCTCCTCCTCCCCATCCTCCTCCTCCACCTCCTTCTCCTCCTCCTCCTCCTCCTCCTCCTCCTCCTCCTCCATCTCCTCCTCCTTCCTCCTCCTCCTCCTCCTCCTCCTCCTCAATCTCCTCCTCCTCCTCCCCTCGTCCTCCTCCTCCTCCTCCTCCTCCTCCACCTCCTCCTCCTCCTCCTCCTCGTCCTCCTCCTCCTCCTCCTCCTCCTCCTCCTCCTCCTCCTCCTCCTCCTCCTCCTCGGCCTCCTCCTCCTCCTCCTCCTCCTCCTATTCCTCCTCCTATTCCTGCTCCTGCTCGCCGCCGAGAAGCCCAGGGCCCCGCCCACCCCCTCAAAAGAAAGGGGCCGCGCCGCGGCCGCCGCCGGGGGAGGGCCTCCGCGCACCGGCCGTCCCAGCAGTCTGCGAGGCCGAGGTCTCGGCACGCCTCCGCTGGCCGACTCTCTTGCGACGCCCCCATCGCAGAGGGAGAGAGAGAGAGAGAGAGAGCGAGAGGGAGAGAGAGAGAGAGAGTCCTCCCCCTCCTCCTCCTCCTCCTCCTCCTTCTCCTCCTCCTCCTCCTCCTCAAAGAAAGAGAGAGAGAGAGAGAGAGAGAGAGAGAGAACAAAACAAAAGAGTTTGCGAAGCAGGGATTTGATGTCCTGGACCCCCCCCGGGGGCGTCGGAGAAAGATGCCTTGGCGACCAGCCAGAGGCCGAGAATGAGGTTGGCCACCTTCTCCCCAAGCTCCTCACCGGCCTTTGGCCGGTCTCATGGCACACAGAGGAACCAACGACAAGACAATCATCGGGACAACCCTGAGGCCCAGACATATCCATGTCCACCGACTCCGAAGGCCCCGGAAGATCGGTCTCGCAGGCGGTGGATTTGGATAAATCCAGGCTCGGAGACGCCCCGTCGCCAAGTGTGAGAGAGAGGGAGGGAGCTCCTAGACATGCACACATCGAGAACATGTCACGCCGGGAGTTCGGTTGGCCGCTCTCGGCCTCCAGGAACCTCTGGCGGGCCTCGCACAGTCAGCAAAACCTCTCGGGGGTGAGGACTGGAACTTCCGCGGACCTCGCACTGAACAACAACTGGACCTCGGATGTCTGAGCGGGGGCGGCGCCAACAAGGGGGTATAGCGCAAGGGGGGGGCGGCTCCACACAAGGTGGGGGGGCTTCTGCCCTCTTGGTATGTCTCCGGGACGGAGCACTGCTCGCGGGACGGAGAAGGAGGAGCAGGATGAGGAGGAGGAGGAGGAGGAGGAGGAGGAGGAGGAGGGGCCAGGACCAAATCGCGGAAAGGCCACATCGTCGGATCTCCGGGCCGGAGGCACTCTCGCCGCAACGGCTGGACGCGGCTGTCGGGGGGGTCCGAAGGGGAGGGCGCTCGCAGATCATATGGCCCGAGGCACGTGCACGGTCCAGGCGGCCCAGGGGACGTGCCCGAAGAAGGAGACGGGGCCATGAGATCCCCCTCCTTCTCCTCCTCCTCCTCCTCATACTGGTCCTCCTCCTCCTCCTCCTCCTCCATGCTCCTCCTCCTCCTCCACTCCTCTCCTCCTCCTTCCTCTCCTCCTCCTCCGCCTCCTCCTCCTCCTCCTGTCCTCCTCCTCCTCCTCCTCCTCCTCCTCCTCCTCTCCTCCTCCTCCCCCTCCTCTCCTCCTCCTCTCCTCCCCTCCTCCTCCTCCTCCTCCTCCTCCTCCTCCTCCTCCTCCTCCTCCTCCTCCTCCTACTCCTCTCTCCTCCTCCTCCTCCTCCCCCTCCTCCTCTTCCTCCTCCTCCTCCTCCTTCTCCTCCTCCTTCTCCATCACCCCCCTCTTTGGTCGCCACGTCAGGCTGGACCCAGGAAGGGTGTTTGGGGAGAGATTCTGAGCGGGTTCTGGCCAGGCGGCACTGTACACACGAGGGCTGGCTGGCCTTCCCTTTGGTGGCCACGTGCGCACAGGCCGCGGGCGCGGGTGTCACACATAGCACGCCGTGGAACGTCAGGGGCGCCCGAGGAGGCCGCCGCGGAAGGATGGGCTCGGGAAGGGTGCTGGGGGAGAGGTCCTCAGCGGGTGCTGCCCAGGCGGCACTGCAATTGCGCGCGAGGGCTCGACGGCATTCCGTGTCGTGGCCCCGTGCGCACGGGCCCGCGGGCGCGGGTGTCGCACACACGCAGCACAGGAGGAGGAGGAGGAGGAGGAGGAGGAGGAGGAGGAGGAGGAGGAGGAGGAGGAGGAGGAGGAGCCGCGTGGAAGGTCAGGGGCGTCTGAGGAAGGCGGCGCGTCCAAGTAGAGGGGGGTTTCGCCACTCGTGGCACGGGGGGGCACGCGCGCAGCCGAGAGGGGGGGGACCATGGGAGGTAGAGGTCGTTCTGTTTCGTTGCTGTTGCTTCGTTCGTGCCACTTTTTATGTGCTTCCCTCGGGGTGCTGTGGCTTCTGTCTCTCCTCGGAAGCTGTTGCGTGTGTTTCCCCCTCGATTAATTTGTGGCAGCAAAAGAGAAAGGGACCATGAGAGTCATCCTGGCCCCGGCCACGACAGTGTTGGCCTCCCCCTAGCGTAGCCATGATTCATGACTTCCCTCCTTGGCCGCCCCCAGCCAGGAAGGAGAGAGCGCTTGAGGCGCGACAGTTGAGCGGGCAGCTAGCGCGTGAGCGTTCCTGCATGTTCACCCTGGCTTGCATAATGGGAGATGCAACAGCTGCATGTTCCGGCGCCCTGACCTCTGTTTCGCCATTGCCGTCGTCCTCGTCCTCCTCCTCCTCCTCCTCCTCCTCCGCCTCCTCCTCCTCCGCGAACCCAAACATCAATTCGTGCCTTTCGTATGTACTCCGCATCTCTTTTTCGTTTGATCAACTCTTCGGATGTGTTCCTCCAAGCACCAACGGTCCCTTTTACAGAACAAGTCGGCACAGGCGCAAGCTTCGAGGTAATTACTCTGGGGGATCGTTTCAAACCTTGTTGGCCGTAAATCGAGTCTCCAGAGGCAGTTCTGGATGGCTCGGGCAACCACCAAAAGCCCTCGGCGAGGCGCAACTGCTGCAAATCAATCTGGAAGACCCTGGGGAACCTACATAGACGTGGGGAAAATACCTTCCGCCGTGCTTTTATCCATGACGTGAAGAAACCTGGGTCCTCTCTGGTTGCTCTGCTACCCTCCGGTCGGGCATGTCCCCCTACAGGCGGACATAGGAGAAACATGGAAAATAATCAAATCATATTCAAACATATGAAACACATCCCCATACTATTTGGAATATTTTTCAAAATTCCTCATGTAGAGGGACATGCCCGACTTAATGCTACCCCCCCCCCCACCGCCGCCGCACTGGGCCGCAGCTGCCCTGAGCCGGTGGGGAGGACGAGGAGGAGTAGGAGGAGGAGGAAGAAGCACGAGGAGGAGGAGGAGGAGGAGGAGGAGCAGGAGGGACAGAGGAGGGACGGAGGAGGAGGGACGGAGGAGGAGAAAGTAGTAGGTATGGGTAGGGGCGGAGGACGAGGAGGCGGAGGAGGAGAGGAGGAGGAGTATGCGGGGGAGAGGAGAGAGGAGGCAGGAGGAGGAGGAGGAGAGGTGGTAGGAGGGGGAGGAAGGAGGATGAGTAGGGGGAGGATGAGAAGGAGGAGAGGCTGGAGGAGAAGGAGGAGGAGGCGACGCCACTTCGAATGGGTGGTGGGGCCAGGGGGCAGCCTTGACGAACTCCGCGGCCCCGAGCTTCTGGCCAGCACCCGCGGCCCCGTCCGCCAGCGGTGGGTGGTGGCCTCTTGCCCCTCATCCTCCTCGCTGTCCTCTGCTTTCCCCCCCTACTCCATCTGTTCCTCCTCCCCCTCCTCCTCCTCGAATCGCTCTTCTCCACTCCCCCTCCTCCTCCTCCTCCTCCATGCCTCCTGCCTCCTCCTCCACCTCCTCCACATTCTTCCTCTCCCCTCCTCCTCGATCCTCCTCCTCCCCCCCCCCTCCTCCCCCTCCTCCACCACATCCTTTGCCTCCTCCTTCTCCTCTCCTCTTTCTCCTCTACTTCTCTCCTCCTCATCCTCCTCCTCGTTTTCATCCTCTATCCTACTCCTCCCCCCGTTCCTCCGCCTCCTCCTCCACCTCCTCCTCCTCCTTCGTGTTTTCCCTCCTCCTCATCATCATCCTCGATACCCCTCCTCTTTCTCGATCCTCCTAGTCCCATTGTTTCTCCTCCTCCTCCTCCTCCTCCTCCTCCTCCTCCCACTCCCGCCAGCCCCTCCTCCTCCCCTTCCTCCTCCACCTCCTCCTGGAGGTTGGGTCCAATATCATCTTTCAACGAAAACGTAAACATGACTATCCGAAGGTCCAATAGCTGAAGCTGGAGACGTGAAAATGTAAGAAGCCTGCGGACATGGAAATAGCCGGCCCCGTGGCTATCAGCATCCGCAGGGTCCGATAGCTGAAGCTGAATCTTCGAAAGTGTGACACATCGGGAGCAGGTGGGGCAGGAGGGAAGGGCACGGTGCGAGATGAGGGGGGACGGCAAGTGGGCGGAGGGGAAGGGTACCCCGAGTTTCTTAATAAACGTCGGGCGGGCGTCACCCCCGCCGACATCCCCACATCGGCCTTCGTCGCGGGCAGCCACCGCGCGCCGAAGGCGCTCCGACCCCCGTCGCGGGGCGACGACGAGGCGAGGTTGACCCCCGTCGGAGGGGTGCCCCCCCACACTTCTTCAGAAACCCAGAGTTGGAGGGAGAGCCAGAGGGGGGCGGCAGGAGGGGAAAGGCGGGCGGGGACAGACGGGGGAGGGGAGGGGACCCACACCTCCCATCTCCTGGGTGCTTTCGCAGCGGCGTCTCCGGGGACAGGTCGTGCGTCCCCAGTAGAATGTTTGGACCTTGATTTGGACTACCCAGGGGCCCAGCTGCCCCAGGAGGCCGAACACTTGGGGGAAAATAAAAGAGCCCAGGGAGACACACATGAGTCGGCGCAAGTCCCAAGAGTTTCACGCGTTTCGGGAATATCAGTCTCCCCTGCCGCTTCCCATAGTTTCCACCACTTTCCACCACTTTCATGGAGATCAGCGTTCATTTGTGTTTGTGTCTCTCTTTTGTTCCCAACCATCCTGTGGTGCTGGGCCGTCGTTTTGAAGAGATAGCGCCCCGCGTCCACTCCCTCCTTGCTCCTCCCCCTTCTTTTCCTCATCCCTCCTGCCACATCGCATGTGCCCTCCGCGTGTCTCTGTTTCGGCACACCTCTCACACGCTTCGTGGCCCAATCGGGAGCTCCACTTAAGGCCCCAACGGTAGCGCCCGCATGGCACCACCACGCACAATTCTGCACACCGCTCACACGTTGCGTGGCCCCATAGGGAGGTTTCCCACAAAGCCCAGTGGCAGCGCCCGCATGGCACCACCGCGCCCGTTGCGGCACACCCCATCACACGTTTCATGGTTCTGTATATGTAGCTCCACCTGAGGCCCCAATGACAACGGCCGCATGGCGC